CTCTCTCTCTCTCTCTCTCTCTCTCTCTCTCTCTCTCTCTCTCTCTCTCTCTCTCTCGACAGCGACCGGAGCACAGGTACCACTAAAAAGGGAAGCGATGTCAACATTTTATCAATACATTCATGTTTTCTTGCCGTCCGTATCAGCGGTCGCTATCTTTTGTGTCAATTTTTTGTTTGTATTTTTAATGTTACGAAACAGTGATTAAAGCGTCAGAGAAGATGTGCCGCAACTGTGCGACCGGTGGTGTTGTCCACCACTGGATCGTCGACATCAGCCACTGAATACTGATTATGAGTTTTGGGTATAAAAATTGAGAGCCTTTTGCACCGCATATGCTATCTCTCGATGTAGTGGTTATTACGGAGGACTAGATTTTTATGTGTCTCTCGCATATCAGTACATTTCGTTTGAGTTTAGATTTTTATTTTTATTTTCAATCGTAATATATATCGTAATAAACAGATTTTGATTTTTTCTTCGAGTAAATTGTCGGCGATTTGAATCTCTCTCTCTCTCTCTCTCTCTCTCTCTCTCTCGACTTCAGCAGGAAATTCATGACATGAGAAAATGACGCTCTTATAAGACATTGGCTTTTGCTTAAGAGACCAAACACTTCGTGATTATATATACCTGTGCTCTGAGGAAACTCTTTATGTGATCAGTAATTAATTATTATTATTATATGAGTCTGTAATTAATACGTACAAACTAATGACTGACAAGTTTGTTGTTATAGCTATCGCTAATACCGTAGATATATTGATAATAATAATTATTTGTCGTATCTTGCAATCAAAACACTTGTATCGCAATATATAAATCACACATTATTTAGGCTTCAATTGAAATCACAGAATAAATCATAGCTTTTAAAAGCATTTTGAAAACTCTGTCAAACATGAAAATTCATAAGCATTTCGCAATCATTTAAATAAATTATTAGTCAAATAAAAAGGAATTTCTAACAGAAGTCTCAAAAAATATCTTATATTTTGTTTACTTTCGACAAAACGATGATATTTTAAACAAATAGTTTCTACGATAAGAATCGTCAGCAAACTATCAAAAAGTATTATGGTTAAAGTTTTGTCTGAAACAAGTAATTGTAAAATTATATGTTTTTTACTTTTCTTTCTCTACTTGTGACATGTCTTTTCATGTCAAATATGGGTATATATTTGCCTACAAATGCTTCTCACAATAAAATACCGTTTTTATCATTTGTATGATATCTCCGAAATCGGTATTCAAATGCATACTGTTTTTCCCTACCTTTCCACAGAAGCTACGAATTTTTGTGCAAAAAATAAAAAATATTTTGTAAAAACATTGCAATCTTGATACAAACATCTTAATCCTATGCACACATACATACATTGAACTTAATATATGTATAATAATAATATAAGAGATAATTTATTTCATTTAAATCCAATGACTGCCATAAGTAATTAATATTTATATGTTTCTAGTGATAATTAATTTATTCATTCAATTAATATGAAATAAATTTAAATAAATATATACTGGTGTATTAGAAACGACATATGAGTGCAATAGTAAGAAATATTTAAATTATCCTGAATGCAATCAACTGGCTTAAATAACTGGCTTTTTTATAACACGGGTTTGAAATTTGTTTACTCGGAGTTTGCATTTTATTTCTACATTTCTTTTCCTTTTTCCTGTCGTTTTATTCAATGAAAAGCTCATAAAAACTTTTATTGATATTTCTGTGCCCAGCAAATATATCAGAGACACATTAACTAATAATAAAATTCAAATTCAAATTAATCACAAATCAATTCAAACAGCAAAAACTTTGAACACAAAATATATTTTTACTGTTGTAACTCATTTGGCATTTATTCAGAAAAACATTATTATTATTACTACTGATAGATAATAACCTTAATATCAAAAACATTGCCATTTTATATAAATCACACTACTTTTAATTATATTGTTATTTGTCAGTGTTTTATAAGAATATCGTTTATGAGTTGTTTATATATCCGTCACATTTTGCTAATTATTCAAACGTAACTCAAGGCATTCAATAAATCAATAATCAAATGAGTGAACAATTTACTGCCATAAATGGTAGCATTTGTTTGTGAATATAATTCATTTCATTGCTATTAGTTTGCAATTTGTGTTCAAAAACGCGTACATAGATTGTGATCAACTGTTATGACGGATACATTTGAATAGGATTTAATTTAGCGCAAAAATTCATCGACTTTTGCCATAAATGAGTGTATTTTCTGCTCTTAAATGACAGCTTCTCGACGAACATTGAGTTTCTATGTTATAATAAATTCAAAATTCATACACATTTTTGCCAAAAACACAGTAAGTCTCACATAATATTGTGAATGACTATAATATATGAGTGAAAAGCTAACTTTTTTGTTAGCCTCTCATCATATGTTTGCAATTAAAGCGTTGAATCATTTAATTCTCGTCTCTGAGCGTAAAAAATGTGGCGATTCTTGTGCTCAAACTCAGGCTATTTAGGCGTTCATCAGAGGCTGTGGTATGAGTGAGATAGGAGGGACACTGACAAAAAGGGACAGGGATATCGCTTAATAAAACAGTACAGAGCCATGCATTTATTAAGGAAACATTATTAAAATATTCTCGTAATACTAGACTATGTGTTGTATGAAAACTAATGTCTATTCTTCTTAATTATGTATTTTATGTACGAATATTATGCAAGTAATTCAATACTGATGTATGCATTATATGCAATATTTATAGTGATTTATTTGGGCTTAAATTAAGGCTTTAAAAAATTAATACAATTTTTAAGTCCTTTTGGAAGTTATGTTTGCAATTAATTTAACTTATTTTTTGTGTTGCAATTCACTCGAAGCCTTAACTTCTTTATATGTAATACAAGGCATATATTTGTTATCTTAATTGTAGTACCATTTGATAAAAACCCCTTTTCTAACCTTTTTATAGCCACATATATTCATATAAAAAAGACTACTTTATCTTAAAGTTCATAAAATGTTTTTCTGTCTCTATTGCTGTGGTTTCGTAATAGAAATGCATTTTGATATGAAATTCATATAAACTTTCAATTCAGTCGCTAAATTCATATTTATTACACAGAAAAGTTAAAAATCAAAATAAGAAAACTTCTGTTTTTCTTTTCCAAATGAATTATCATTATTTTGAATCAGGAGTACTTTGTATTTGATTTTTTGATACTTAAGTAATAGTTTTGATTTAATAACCGAGACTTAATATATCTTAAAAACATAATTATTAATAATAATAGCATAAACTCTGGAAAATACATACAGTATTCAATTAATTAGAGCTCCAAAAAGACAACATAAATAAGTAAATAAAGTAAACGCTGTGTTTGTGGTGATTATAAACTGTCAGTAAAAATATTATTAATGGTGAGACTAGTCATGAAAAAGTAAACGATTTTCGCAACAAATTCAATACATATTAAAGCCTAAAACATAACTCTTAATGCAATTTAGTTTTTGTGAGTTTTCTTGAAAGACACCCAAAAAGCGAGTGATGTTTGCAGTGATGTGTTGTGTGTTGAGTGCGCGCAACCAATAGTCGCATAACATTTAGGACTCGAACTGTTTGGCTGAGTCTTAGGGAAAGGCAGCCACCGATACAGCCATAAGTGAATGATAATAGCCTTAAGTGATGTCACCGACGCTTCACGAAACAGCAACAAAAAAGTTTTTTAAACATTTTTTGCCTCTTTTTGAAAATCTTATGATAGGAAAGAGAAACTTAAGGATAAAGTGCGAGAGAGAGAAAGAGAGAGAGAGAGAGAGAGAGAGAGAGAGAAAAGCGAGAGAGTAGTGAAAAAACGAGTGACGCATATGAGTAGTACCGGTGCTGTGCGTTATATAACGCGCTTTTATATAATACATGTTTTCGGTGTTTGTCCTATAGTTTTGTAAATTATTGATATTTAAGCGCAAACGTGAATTACAAACACATAGACTGTGTATCTCTTTTGGCAATTGATAGCGAAGTATAGCCAAAACAGTTGATAATAAACACGAAGAGATTATTTATATATTTATTTATTTCTTAAGAGTTTTTATATATCTATTGGTAAAAAAGAGAAACATTTTTTATAACTAAATATCAAACTTATCATTCATTTAAATACTTCACGGAATGTATTAATAAATATTAATAACTGTTTATATTTATTGCCATAAATCAGATGTAGAAAAGCATTGATTTGTCAAACGTATGCCTAAATTACATACATTTTTGTCACTAAATTAATATTTATGCTAATATTGTGTGTCTAAGTGTGTTGAATGAATATTTACGATAAATGATACTTAATAATTCAATTCATTAGTAATCAATTGATTAAATATTTATCATTTCAATTACAGAATCGATGAGTTGAGACGATATTAATATTGAAATATCAATTCAATGGGACGACTGGTCGTTAAAAACGGTTTGGATATTCACGGTGTGAACGGAAAGCAAGAATAAAGTGAGAATTTTATGACATTTTTATTGAATTTGTTTAAATAATTATTATCACTTGAGTATTAGTTTTTGTGACTTTTCTGTAGCTGAATGAAAGGTTTATTTTATACATTCGTGAGATAACACTAATATTTATTTTTAGTAATTATACTAAACTATAAAATTCTTAACGAGACGATTGTCTACGAAATTAAAATACAGTAAATATTAGCGAAAAAAGTTTCCTTAATTTGCTTTCGTATCCTTGAATGAGAAATGCAAACAAAAAATTGTCATAAATATTTCCGATTGAATTATAAATACACATTAGCATTTTCATAGGTATCCACTAAAAACAGATAGAAACAAATATTTGGTTTATTTATTTTTTTGCTAGATAATAAAAACAGTTACAGAATATTAGCATAATATACAAATATTCTGGAAATTTGAGAGTCATTTTTGGCAGTGAAAATTCCACTCAAATATTATTACCGATAAACTACTTATGCATGCATTTTGTTTATTATGATTTATATTCATAATAATGTTTTTTGTCTTAGTTGTCGACCATTAATGCATTTGGGAAGAGATCAAAGGGAATGCCGTCTGTAGTGATCGAAATGCAAAACCAAGAAATCGCTGCGGAATCCAATGACAGCAAAATCAACGACAAAACCGATGTATTCTGTGATGAGAGTCCGCTGACAATCAGGTGCGGCGGTTGTGGTGACAATATATACGACCGCTACTACCTGTTGACTGTGGACAGGCACTGGCACTGCCGGTGCCTTAAGTGCACCCATTGTGGCCAGCAATTGGAGTCACAATTGACGTGTTTCTCGCGACACGGACTCATTTACTGCAAACAGGACTACTATAGACTGTTTTGGTGGCAAAAGTGTGTCCGGTGCTCGCAGTCCATACAACCCAAGCAATTAGTTATGCGAATCAGTATTGACAGCCATAACAGCCATTACTATCACGTCGAGTGTTTTACATGCGTTACATGCGATCAACAGTTGAGAAAAGGAGACCATTTCGGTCGACATAACAATTATATTTATTGTCGCTTTCATTACCAGCAACTAATTGATGCCACCGATGCTGCTGGTGGTGGTAGTGCCGGTGCCCCACAACACACACCACCCGATCACCCGTTACCGCAGTCTAACTGTGCGCCCGATTCCGATGCCTGCGATAAGAAATCGGTGAAATCGTCGGCCGATTCTTATCACCAAAAGACAAAACTTTATAAAAAGCGAAAAACAAAGTTAACCCAAAAGTTCATCGATAAATGTGAGTCCGATTGCCGTGTTTTGCATACTTTATATTCATACTATATAACCTAATATATACTATAGACTATACAAACAATTTTTTATGACAAACCAAATGATTGATTGTGAGTTGCGATCCCTAAATGACTCCAAAGAATAGTTTTAATAACAAAACATAATATTAACAAAAATCCCATAAATGTCTTCATTTGAAACAAAAATATTATTATAAAAAATCATAGCGATTTTCACACAATAATAGCTTTGACTTAGTGTTCATTTGCATAAATAAACATTCAATCCTATAGTGCCGGTGCTCTACTTGTGAACCTGTACTCTATTTGCATAGCACTGGAAAAGCGCTGTTATTCTAGCGCCAGATACCAGTGCCCGTCGACCGCCACCGATAATAATTGCAAATAATTTGTGCACATATTTGTATTGAGACATAAATATATAATATAAGCCGATTATAGTTGGCATATGTTGTGATATGCGATACCGATGCCAATTGGCTACTCATATACATATAGCGTAATATTGGATGCAATTCCGTAGAAAAGGTTTAGCAGTGTATGCGAGCGGTTGGCGTATAATCTTCGCAAATCAATTTTGTCAAAAATGTTGTGTTTCTCTCAGAGACATACAGATAATCCTCTTTGAGTGCTTTGAATCCGCTTTCAATTGCAGACACTTTTCTCAATGAAGACTAGGCTTACAGTTAGAAGTCATGCACTCGTGTGCCAAACGAACGCCTATTCTCTATGCCTTTCCCTACACTCTCTCTCCTCTATTCTCTCCACTCTATACTCTTATTTCGTATTACATATTCTCTCTCTCTCTCTCTCTCTCTCTCTCTCTCT